CCGAGGTAATAATATACAACTGTCAGAGGTTTGAATATTTGGTAGTGACTCTAGATTTTGAAGAAATTGACAAGTCAGATGGCATCAAACAGCAAAAATGGATAAATACCACTGATAAATCGTTCATTTGTAATTACGAAATAAAATTAACATTAAGACTTTAGTTGGACGACAATAAGGAAAATATTTGGAACAGCTTCATCTGACTTTTGGTAATAAAGTACAAAACAAGTACAACTTAAATCCAAAATTGCAATCTGAGCATACAAATATCAACAACACATTTCATGAAAGTCGTACAAAGTATGCTCTTACTCCAGCAATTGTTAATACTGTATCATTAAGCTCTGAAACGGAAACAATATCAATGATAGGTCATACTCAATCAAACGTATTGAATGTGTCTACCAGTACAGATAATAATAATAACCAAGTAATACGAGGTCGTCTGTGTGAAGCAGGAAAATAGACAAACCAAGAATTGATGTTTCTAGTACCCAAGCGCTCTCAGATATAGAATCTGAGTTTTGTTGAAATAGGTCTGTTGCTTTTTCATTTTTTGCAGACTAATCTGCGAGGAACCCAAAATGTCATGTGATCTGAAGATTATTAATTACGAAGAGATTGAATGTATAAAAAAACTGAATGTTTTACAGTTTTACTGGTAAACAGTGAAATCTTTTGAAATGACTGATCTTGAATGTGAACCAATTTAAAATACAAGCTCTCAATATGATCGCCGTGGTACAGATCATTCGATTCAAGATTGACAAAATTCCGAAAATAATTGACAGCAACCAATCAGCTTTCGCATAACAGGCCAAATTATTGATTATGGCGACAAATCTTCCGATTCATTTTAGAATTGGCACCAACTCTTAACGTAAACTTTTCCGTCAGACTCGTTATCAATTTTCAATGGCAATATCAGAGATATTTCCTCATGTTAGCATATAATGCGAGTCAAATAAAATGACTTTTCATAAGCTGCAATGAAGTTACAGTTTAAAAAATAGGCGCCGTGTCTGTAATGAATTCAATTAACTTTCCAGAATCCATATTATACCATATAATATAACTACAGTTTTTATACCTATGACCAATTACTTGACCGATTACTATTTTTAGAGGGTCAGATGAAAAAAAAAAATGGAAGTTCATACAAATATTTTGCATGTTGCACTCTAGGTAGATTTTCTGATAATGCTTAATGTTCTTCCTTTCCCTCAATAACACAAAAAGAAGTAAAACTAACTTACTAATCGCATTCAATATAGCCAAATTTGGATTTGAGAATGATTCAAACGGCCATTTTGAGGTAGCACACAACAAGGTTACTATTCAGTTGAGGTCTCACCACTGTGTGAGGCCCTCATCCAAAAATTTCTAAATTGTGTTGTGATGATGAAAAAATACACTGAATATTCGAAGGAAAAAATATATACAAAATATTTAATTACTTCATTTCAAGAGATTGAAAAATTTATATCAACTTAGGAAACTTCATTTTTGACAACAATTTTTTTCAAATAAAAACATCCCTTTTGATTGAGTTTTTTGAATACATATAGGTTATACTTTTTGCATAGTATTGGTTCTTGAATAAAACGAAAATGAAATTCACAATACCCCTTCATCTTAAAAAAAAAAAAATTCGTTTTGTAGTATGGTTGAGCTTATTGCAATAATCACTTTCTATACTGATATTCGATGTGTTTATTAATTGTAATGATAAACGTCACATAACATCAGAACTGTCAGTTGAAAACTAAAATAGTAAACCAGTAGAGTCGCTATATGAACACTGGATGTGTCATGCTTTCTTTGGGGGAATCTTCATCTTGCAATGCATTAGAAACACATGTTATAAAAAGTTTCTCAGAATTCTTGGCATGTTCCTGTTTTTGTTTCTCCTGGTTAGGTTGATTTAAACGAGGTCTTAACTGGTCTCAATGCTTTTTTTTATTGCGTTCCATGTACGTCCACAATATATGAATAAGGTCCAGTTTTATCCATTACTGTTCCTGGTGTGGATCCTTTACCTAGTGAATTATTCACCCAGACTGCCTTATCCATGTTTCGGAATAAGTCAGGTTTCAATTGGTCGAACAGAGTAGGTAAATATCGTACAAACATCAATTCGATTGAGGCCCTCTGTCGAGAGTTGTATAGTATTACGATAATTCAGCAAGAAACTTTGTATTGATTCTTCTCTTGTCCACTAGCTGATATGCGATCTTTGAATGTCTTTACTTCTCTTTCAGCAAGTCCATTTGTATTGGGGTGATACGGTGATAATCGAATATGTGTGATACCATATGACTTTCAAAATAATTCGAATTTTTCAGCGGTTAACTGAGGATCATTATCCGACACAATTATTTTCGGACAACCTAATCTCGAAAACACTTCCCGAAGCACGTTTATTGTTGATAACGTGGTGATATTCTTTATCGGAAAAATCTCGAGCCAGCGTGTATAAGCATCTACTTTGATTAGCCACATTTTTCCTCCGAAAGGTCCGGCAAAGTCTATATGCACTCGCGACCATGGTTCCGAAGGAGCACCCCATGGATACAATGGAAGTTTATGATCACTTTGTTTAGATTCTTGACAAGAAGTAGTTGTTTTAACGAAACTTACGATGTCATTGTCCACGTTCGGACAGTACACATGTAAACGTGCATTGGACTGCATGGCAGTTATACCAGGATGTCCATCATGAAGAATCATCGATACCTCATGGCGAAGTGCTTCCGGAATACATATTCTTCCTTTCCAAAGAAGAACATTTTCATAAATCGAAAGTTCCTCACGTTTCTCGAAGTATGGAAGAATTTCGTTAGGTAGTTGTCTTATCAGGCCAATAGAATTTTATGCATCTTATGACTATGCATCTGTTTTTGACGGCAAAACGTTATTCGTGATAGGAAGGTTGTGTAGTCTAAGATGCAGAAGTTGACTTATTCAAAGTAATCCAGGTTCTTCCAAAGGTGATGCTTTTGTATCAGGAAGTGGTACACTTAATAATGCCCCTGTAGGTGCATTTTCTTTACCTAACTGGTACGCTTTGTCAAAATCATAGCTATTCAATGTCATGGCCCATCTGAGAAGTCTATTACTAGCAATCTTTGGTGTTTCACGGTCTTTACTAAATATTCGTTCTATAGGCTTGTGATCCGTAAGTAGTCTGAAATGTCTTCCATATAGATAATGGTGGAATTTTGTAACTGCAAACACGATTCCTAAAGCTTCCCTATCTATAGTAGAATATCCTGTTTCCGCATCACTCAAAGTGCGTGAAGCATAAGCAATTGGTTTGAGTTGTTTATTAGGGAATTCGTGAAATAAGACCGACCCAATACCCTTCGAACGCGCATAACTTGTTACTACTATTGGCAATTCATGATTGAAATGTATCAGAGTATCAATGAACTAAGGATATTCTTTAATTCATGGAATAACTTTTCATCATCAACTCTCCACTTGAATGTTGAGTTGTTTTTCAGGCGTCTGTAAAATGGAACGCAAATAACATGTAGATGTGGTATAAAACGTCCATAATAAGTTATCGATCCCAAGAAAGATCTGAGTTCACGTATATTCGTGGACTTGGCATATCACTTATACCTTCAATGCGTTCTGATGTAGGATGTAATCCTTCTGCATCAATGTTGTTACCCTAAAATGTCAAAATTTCACTAGTTTGGCCTTCCATTGTCTACTATATAAAATGATATGAAATCCCTGAAACAACTGAAAATTTATGGTCCAACTTACTTCCCGTAAACAAACAAAGTTATGCTACCTTCAATGTAAGGATGGAAATGGTAGGTGATACGGCTTAATAACTGTCATATTTGGATTCAGCACCCTAAAAACAGAATAATAAAGTGTTTTAACTGAAAAGTTTTTTCATCGTTGGCCTGTGTTATCGATCCCAAGAAAGATACGAGTTCACTTATATTTGTTGGACTTAGCATATCACTTATAGCTTCAATGATGTAGGATGTAATCCTTCTGCATCAATTTTGTGACTCAAAAAAGTCAAACAGCTTTGTAACCATCTACACTGCTAAAAGTTGTATGAGTCGTACCATATGTAAATCCTTATTGGGTGCAGTTATCAAAATATCATCCAAATAGCACACTGTTCCGTCAATATCTGCTAGAAGTTGGTCCATTAAAATCTGAAATGAAGATGGTGCAAAATTTACCCCGAAAGTCGCGATAATAACCTCGGATTGTTGATATAACTAAATATTTTCTTGAATCAGGATGAACTTGCAGCTGAAGATTTTGGCCTCCGTTGAGTTTTGACATTATATCTTCGAAACGCGGAAGAAGGTAATCATTTTTTTTTCACATATGGATTTATTGTTACTGAAAAACCCGCACAAATGCGAATGCTTCCATTCGATTTGATTGCCAAAACTATGGATGCTGCCCATTCAATATATGTAATAGTTGTATTGACCTTTTCTGCAACTAAACGATCCAGTTCAGCTCTCACCTGTTCTTGTGAGGCTATAGGAACTGATCTTAGTATAACTGCTTTCAGTACAGCATTTTCTTTCATATGTATCTTAACTAAGTGTTCACGAATTTGTCCATTAAATGAATCACTAATTTTCTCAAGTATAGCTTCAAGTTCTGAAACGTGATTGACGTTTACTTCTATATCCGAAATGAGGAATCAATTCAGTGTCCGATGTTCGAGTAGTTGAATTGTTTTTGTTTTTTCTTTCTTTGATTCGACATAGCTTGGCTTTTGGTGGAAGAGGTGTGTATTTTTGGTCGACAATTGAAAGATTCAACTTCTACTTTCGCTATTCCATGAGTTTTGATTTCGGTGTCTATATACGCCACTATGTTTTCAATTTGTTTAAGAGACGGACTGCCAATCTGTTTCCACAGTTTTTTACCACACACGGAATGTGCAGCCCCTGGATTATAGAGCATATCTATTTCTTTGCCATTTATTTTTGTCATGAGCATGATTTTGTTTGTGGAATATATGTTTCGTATATTTGTTGTGTTAGTAGAGGTATAACTATCACCACTTTCATTGCAATTCTTCGTTTCTGCGTCATGTACATGTCTTGTATTTTTTTTTTGATTATGTATTCGAGCATGTCCCGTTGTTTTGCAATCTTTTCAGAAATGATTCAATGCTCCACATGCTGAGCACTTTTTATTTTTAGCAGGACGAGTCTTTTCCCCTGTGACGTGATTTTCCACATGATAAACGTTTTTTTTCCATATTCAAAATCAGAGTGTTATTGTATTCATCTTGTTTGAATTTATTACTTCTGTCGTTATGTTCAAGATGTTCTGAAAACCGAATTGATCGTTTGTAGCCTGAATTTACTGCATTTGTATGTTTGACATCAAACTGTCCTGATATATTCGAAAGATGTCTCGACTGTAGCGAAGCCTGTTCCAAAATGAGTGCTGTTGCTTCAATTTCTTCCAGGGCTGTATTATTTGGATGTAACCTAATTAATTTCTGTTGCCAGGCCATGTTATTGATACAAATAACTAGTTGATCTCGAAGACGTTCCTTCAAACTATCGAAAAATTAACAATTTCCTGCCAGTCCACGAAGAGTGTTCATAAACTGTGTAATGATTTCACTGTCCTTCCGATAACGAAGCGCAAATGCTACTCTCTCAAACAAAATATATTTTGTCTTACCATGATATTTGTTTAGTACGTTCACGATATCGTCCAAAGATTTTGTTGTCACTTCATCTGGCTTAAAATGATCAACCAGAATTTTAAAATGTTCAGGTACTACCTCGCTCAAAAGCAAATTACGTCGCAAATTACAAAAAAAAAAAACAACACTCGATTGACAGAAATCCGATCGGTGAAATCCTAATGACCGCAAACAAAAATGTGGAATTTTCCTTATGCTCTCTTATTCTATTGAAAAGAGATAAGGCTCGAGACGAGCTCTTCATTCCAAAAGAGACTTTCTCTGAAAATATCATCTTTTGTAGGTATCAAAACGTTTCAAGAGTTGTGAAAGTGGGTGAACTTTCGTGAAAGCAATACACAGTGAAATAAATACGACATATAGCAGGAATGAATTAAGCAATACATCTGAATATTCTAACCTTAAAATTCCACAGTTCTGGAGTTCATCATTTGTGATTTCAAGTTACAAAATTGTAATAGACTTTAAGAAATCGACTCAGGCAAGTTTTTTGATGAAAAGTTAATTGAATTTCATTCTCGTTAGTTTTTCAAAGAATACAATGCAAAAAATAATGAAAAAATAAAAAGAATAATGAAGTCGTATGAAGTAGACAAGTTTGAAACGTTTATTTGTTGATTTCTAAGTTTCCTTAACTGATGCCTTTTTGACAATGTGAAGATTTGATCAACAAGAGGCACAATGTACGTATCATATTTAAAGTGTGACTGATATTTGAGTTCTTCCTTGACTCAACAAAGCTTTGAATGATTGCATCACATTATGCTTGTCCCTTATATTGACGACTAGGCTATCTACATGACCTCAAGTCGTGAAGTCATCTTCAATATCAGCAGAGGCGATAGCACTCCTTCCGCCTGACAATGGCTTCTTTACTGACTCAGTTATTTCTTGACGAGAGAAGTCATTATGATATCCCAAAAATTGTCTTCGCTTTGGGATGGATAAATGATACCTCCAAGGCGCAGGCAAGAAATGGCTCTAAAAAAGCTGATACTCAAATTGGATGTTACTTGACTATACTTCCACTATCCCATAACAGAAACGTAGTGCTTTTAAATTGGGTTGCCTATACTACAGAACGGTTTCGGATGAAACCAACAGAGTTATCAGGAATTTCTGTAATATCTACAACCACAAGAAAGCAATACATATAAAAAGCAAAGTTCAGTCAATCATAAGGACTGTTTTCACATGGTATATGAATATATACCTGTCTGGTGAAGAATATTTTTTAATTGGTAACCAAAGAAATATTTTTTATCGATAGACGATAGTAAGTACTTTTTTTATTCCTCATATGAAAAGTAAATTAATGTATCCAAATCTGGTGAACTCCCACATCGGATATCTTTCTCGGTTTTACTTTCAAATCGGAGAGAACTTCTGATTTTTGTCTCCATGTAAGAGTTCACCTGATTTGAAAATAAGGTCCCAGAGGCCTTGGTTTCTGTTATTTTGTTCGCTAAACATCCATTGTTCAAAGAATTGCCTTCTTAGTAAATGATAACTCCTCACTAAAGCAAAGGGGTCGCGAAACCTTAGAAATCAACTATTAACGTTTGGTAACTTTTACACATACTAGATAGTTGATTAGACGGCTTAGTTTTATAAAAAAAAAGCATTCTCTGTAAGGAAAAAACGAAACTGGTAAATTCCTTTCACAAAAGAGACCGATGACGTTATCTCAGCAGATGTTTTGACTGTAGGTGACCTTCAATATTATAGTGTGTTTAATCGATTGATGTGTCACAGATTCGGTATGAGGACGAGGACGAAGATGAAGGTCCTCAGCCGGATGCAACTCTGGAGCAAGGTCTACCTTTACCAGTTCGTCTCCAGGGGAGTTTTCCTCCAGAACTTGCCAGCACACCTCTTGAGGACATCGACCCCTTTTACCATAACCAAATGGTAAGTTCATTCTGAAATAAATGATAAATAAATAATATGAAATCGGCCGATACTTGTTGAAAATCTATGATAATTTATTTAAGTAATACTCTATTGTGAGAAATTTACTTAGCATATATAGTGAAAAACTCACTATAACGTGTTATTTGAATACAATAAATAAATCACTCTCAGTCATCTACCAGGTCACTCCTGTAACTCCCAATAGAGCACTTATTATGTTTATTAATCGAACCTAAAAATCATAGTCGGGTACATTATTTCACTGAAAAACATTATCCGCCCACCTCTAAAGAAGATACAAGGGCGGCTTGGTATAGTTTCTGTTGAACTGATTGGCTTCTTTGTTTCAGACTTTTGTTGTCATTAGTAAAGGCAAGGACATATTTCGGTTCAGTGCAACAAACGCCCTTTGGATACTCGATCCTTTCAACCCGATCCGGAGGGTGGCCATTTATATCCTAGTCCATCCTTTGTTTTCACTATTCATCATCACCACTATCCTCGTCAACTGCATCCTTATGATTATGCCTACAACTCCCACCGTAGAATCTACCGAGTAAGTATGACATCAAATATCACATCTGTGATTATATTAATGTTTTGCTATATTTGAGTTTGCATCTGTACATACTTTCAACTATTATTAGCATTGGCGAACTTTCATGTGCCAGAATTTCATGAAGGAATCTTCTCTGCCACTCTTGATAGGAAAAGGCAAATCCTTGTTAAGAACTTCAAGATAGTTTTCCTCACCAGCAACAATCCTCCATTTCACGATTCTACTCAATAAACATTGTGAATGGGATGTTTTCTAATTATAAAAATAATTCACTAATATCCAAATAAAACAATTTGAATTAAGCGTTATGGAACTAAGGAAATATCAATGAGTGAGTTCGACTAATGTCTTCTCTAGCAGTTGGCTGAAGACAGTGGGTTGACGAAGGTTTATTTCCGGTGAGAACATCAACTTTGTCTACTATAGTACATTACATACAAAATGTGGTGACTACTCTTGAAATAATTAAAATCATTGAATTTTCATATCGACAGTTGAAAATATTATAAATCTCATACATTCAACTCTTTGGACAGAAAACCATTTAGGATCTAGATGTGGAAAAAATTAATATAGTCGACAAATATAAATTCCGAACAATATTTCCTTTCCATTTCAAGATGAGCTTTCCTGAGAAAGTAACACATTCAAAGTATCACCTCCAAAGTGATCGGGAAGCTGGTCTATTCATTTCATAAGGTATACAATAAATATTCTATACTCCATATCTATTTGAACAATGTTCATACATAGCTGTTGGTCTCACATCGTTGGTCTCTCCAATATCTTCCTCTCACTTTACTCTCACATCGCCTCACATAAATCTCCCTATACTACCAGAGCACTTCTTCTCTCAAAATGGTGCAACAAAAGGAGTTTTCCGATTGAAAAATTTGCTTCCAGAGTGATATTCACGGGCATCTACACGTTCGAGTCAGCTGTGAAGGTGATGGCGAGAGGTTATATACTTCAACCGTTCACCTACCTTAGAGATGCATGGAACTGGCTCGACTTCGTAGTCATAGCTTTAGCGTGAGTAGCATAGTTTTAGATTATAGGTATCTATTACATATAGACTAGAGTACTCATTCAGAAATTGATACATTTATTAATTTCACACGCAGAATCTAAATAACTACAGTCTTCGTAATGAAAGGTAGATATTCCAAAAAATTTCACTTCACACATACAAAATTCAATTCAGAGAAATATTGATTGGACTAATTGCTTTCCCCAAGTTGTATATCACACTTTCTACAAATACTATGACATTTAAGAATAAATACATCTGGTATGTTTCTAGATAACATAAGGTTGATTATTCTACGCAATTTCCTATTCAAACACAAGAATGTAAATCGATAATTTAGGAAGTGAAATTTCTATATTATCTCAGGTTACATGAAAAATTTAGCGACCATAAAAATATCTCACTTTCACTGAGCACCCCCTTCTCAAAACCTTTATTAGGTTTCTCGTGATTATAAATGATGTTCCAAGTCTTCCATACAAGTGAAGGAAAATATGATGGATATGAAGAGCAAATGCTGTGTTAAAAGAGTTATATCTGCCTGAATAAAAAAAAATATTTCCCACTGGTAGCTATGGCTGACAACAATATCTCAGATTCATTCAATTGGGTGTAATCCCAGATTTCATAAAATTAAGACCATATATCATATTTCCAAGAATCACATTCTAAAAATATTATTATGTGAATTACTGAATGACAAAACTTCAAAATAATGAACGGAACAAAAGAGAAAAAAAAGTGAGAATGATAAAATCAACCTTCACCATAACAGAATTTCCTCTGTTTCTTCTAATGAGTTTCTACTGTTCATTCAGAATTAAACTCTCGGTAGTTTAGATTATACACCACTCACCCTAAAAATATCACCATATACTTAAAGCTAAATACTTATCGCTAATTTTTTCCGTTATTAGCATTCCTAATACAAGTACAAGAGTAAAAACTTACATATTGGCATTATACGGTGTTAGTTGGTAAAAAAAACAATAACAGTTTCAAGTGAGTTGATTGTGACCGCTACAGTTGCCTCATAAATGTAGAATCCATGTAGTTATTTAATCGTATTAGAAATTTATAACTATTGTTCCAGATTATTAGATAACCAAAAATTATTTAGACTCTCTAGTTTAGAATTATGATTTTTATCAGCTAGAATAACTTTTTTTGATAGAACTTATCTGTAGTTCCCTAGTACTGAAAAGTTAAATTGGTAAAATTCAATATGCATTATGAACGTAAAATGTGTTGTCTTGTAACATGTGGAAAATAGTTCAAGAAAATGTGTCACTGCTTTTTTAGTGCGACTTTCTAGTAGCAAAAAAATGGCAAAACTGAGTATACAATGTACTTTTATATTTCCAGTTATGTTACAATGGGTATAGACCTTGGAAATCTAGCTGCCTTACGAACGTTTAGGGTACTTCGTGCTCTGAAAACAGTTGCCATCGTACCCGGTAAGTGATATCTGTATAACTTTTGAAAAAGTATCCTATTACTTCAGCCCTTGAATCACATGCGGTGTGTTCCTCAAGGGTTAAAATTGACGTATTTTTTTCATTTTTGCAAAAGTTAAACTATACAATAGTTTCCTAAGGCATATTCCCTACTAACTGTTAGTAAAAATACAGAAACGATTTCTGTAAGTAGTGAACACGTCTGAAGAAGCTATTTTATAGTGAAACACGTTTCGCTGTTTTGTGAACTATTTATTGAAATTATCAGAATAAAAATACATCATCATTTATTGAAATTATCAGAATAAAAATACATCAATGAGTTTGCCAGGTCATCCAATACGAGCTACTGAAGTTCAATTACTCAATGGTAAACTAGATGAAGTTATAGCATCAAGTTTGCTGCATAAACGCACATTTCCTGGTATGCTCGTGTATTGGATCTCTATAGTAGATGCCTATGCCAAGCATGTTCTCGGGGTGATTTTAATGTGGCGGCTTTAACCTTGAAGTAAGAGTCAAAAGTGTACTTCATGAACTTATTGGAGGTGTGTGCCTTTATATATTCTGAAATTTCAATTTTGACTTATCACTGTGTGAATTGGCCCACCTTTGCCGCCCTTGTTATTACAATATGTAAAAGGAGTAGATTCAAGAGTATCTCCAATACTATTAGTGTGGTTTTCATTGCACCCGACATTCACAAACAAGCAAGTCTTTGCAACCTGATTAGTTTGATAAAAGTAGTTACTTATTTCATCTTTCGCCACCAGACCAAAGAAGCATATGTTATCATAGGTTCAACCACCTGTAGTTATAGCCAATACATCATGTCTGGTAACAGGCTTGTGTTCCAAATCAGTCTTCAATCTAGTATAACTTCAGATACTTAACCTTCCTAGACTCTTCATCTTGGCCCTTCTAGTGAATGCTACCATGATTGATTTTGATGGGCTTATGACTATCATATGCCCTTCTTCCTTGGTACATCTTGTCGTTATATAATATTCACGGTCTACTACGTGAATCATCTGATTATGTTTGTTTGAAGGTGGTTGACAATGTCTCGTGGTGTATTTCATCAGTTCGGACTTCCATTGTCTAATATAATATAAATTGATTTGAAATCCCTGAAAAAAATTAAAAAGATTAACCGAAAATAATGTTTTTGTTTTAATAAAATTGTTATTTTCGGTTAATCTTTTATTATTTTTTTCAGGGGTTTCAAATCAATTTATATTATATTAAACAATGGAAGTCCGAACTGATGAAATTCATCTGATTATGTCACTATATTTGCCCTGGACTAGAACAACTGAGTCATCTGCATAGCCCAATACTTCATATTCAGTATTGTTTACAAGACGTAGTAGCTCCTTCATTACAAGGTTTCAAAACAGTGAGGACAAGACACCTCTGATGACAACAACTTGCTACCCGTGCCAGTTCGTTTAAGTATACTCCACTTTTTCCGGAACTCATAACCGTTCCGTCGACATACCTGACCTGTACGCTCGAACTTAGAGAACTAGAAAGATATGTAGGCAGAGAATTCAACCAAGTGAAAATACAAATTTTCTTAGCTATAATGGTTTTTTTTCTTTAAAAAAGGTGAAAGATAATAAAATCAAGCAATGATTTGTAGGAAGCGGAAAAAGCGGCACAAGCAAAACAAGACAGAGCAGACGCACGTGCAGCTGCAGCAGAAGAAGCTCGAGAAGCACGAGAAGCAGCACTTGCAGTCGAAACTGGACCTGATATCGTGAAATCTCCATCGGATTTCTCATGTCACAGTTATGAGCTATTCGTAGGTCAACCAAAAGGGCACGACGACAACAATAAGGAGAAAATGAGCATACGTTCAGAAGGATTAGATTCAGTGAGTGAGCAGCGAAGAATACCTACTAATCCCACCAAGATGCGGAAAGTCAGCGCTGTAAGTGTCTTGATATTTATTGAGCCAAATTTGAAATTAGCTACCATCACGTCAGGTGACAATCTTCATTTGGTATTTTTTTGGGTAGAAAGTGGGTTGAATTGTGTAACAAATTACTCATTGAGACAGATCACTTCTAGGGTTATATAATCAATTCATTCAATTAATGGCAACAAAAAGATGATCCATTATTGAACAATACTTACGGTTCAGTTTCAAAAGCAAATATATTCAAAATTCCATAATTCTTTGATTCTTGCAAATAGTAATAAAAGAAATATTTGTAAGAAACTTTCATTATTTTTCAAAAGATTCGCCTTTGAAATTATTTCTCGTAACAGATTTTTCTTGATATCTCAAAAAAAATGGTTTTGAAAGGTTTCAATAGTGTCTTGAGATGATGAAAATAGCTGACCATGCATATTTTGACATAAGGAACCAAAAAATTCGTTAGGCAATAAGTCAGGAAAATATGGGTAATGAATCGTCATCAGTCCGCTGTTTTTCTCTTTCAAATAATAAACTGTTTGATGTGCTGTGTAGGTACTGGTGTTGTTGTGATGAAAAATTTTGCGACGTATCAGGTGGTTTTTCCTAATTTGATAACTGTTGGCAAAGAAATTGTCTTATACGATTCAGCATTGACTGTTCTTCGATCCCCTAGAGGGATAGTATAGATATTTCCAGTGAAGAAGAAAAACAAACGATCATTTTCTTTGGAGTACTTCATGAATGAACAACTTTTGATGGGTTTGCTTCATCACGAAATATCCAAACAGTGGATTATTGCTTGGTTTCCGATTCCTAAGTACATATTTATGTTTCGTCACCTGTAACAATGTTTAATACAGATTTCACACACGCCTTTTTTTGAGCATCGGTCATATTATGCGGAATATGTATGGAGAATATATTTTTCAGACCTGAATATTCATGCAGAATCGAATCTATTGCAGACTATGCTAAACCAAGGGAATTTTCTATCTTATGGGATGCCAATCTTCTAAAATAATCTCGTTCACAGCATCAATGATTTTTGGAATTACAATCGATTTTGATCGCCCTTCACAAGATTCATCATAGACAGGCATGACCACGACAAAACTCTGTGAAGCTGTCGTAAATAGCCTTTCCCACCGGTGTTTCATTATCAAAACACAAATGAGGTGTCTATATATTCCTGTATGATGAGACTTTTCATAAAAAGTCGCCTGACAAAAAATTTCACGAGTGCCTTGCATTTTTTCACAGACTTTTTTTTTGCCAAACTCACTGTCACTGGCACCTATCTACGCCGTCAATTTCTAAGCTGTCTCTGTCGTGATGACATTACTTAGTGGCGGCATCTAATGGTCATTTGTAAAAACATAAAAGGTAACCCTTGTATTCACCATTTGAATAATAAAACAAACCTTCTTGAAAATCTTATTAACCACTTTATGAAAAAACCAATACAAGATGATAATCAAGGAATCCATTCCTAAAAAGACGTTTGCTGAACTGTTTACTGTAAATAACAATCAATTATTACCTGAGTCACCAGTTTCGATGGTAGAAAAGAAAATAATTAAATGTTGCTTATGAAATATCAAATATACTCAAGATGTTAAAACTGAAATGAACTAATAAAAATCATGACAATTATAGTGTTGAGACTTCATTTGTTCAACATTGGCCCGAAGATGATCAATGTTTAACAAGTGTCATGCACTTCAATTTTATTTCTTGCTATCCAATTTTGAGTATTTTTCATTTGCTACTTTCAACTCACCTCAAGGTTAGTCTACTTCATTTTGCTCACCAGTGCCGTTTTACAGTTCAACACTTAATACATCCGTCATTTTGAATAGCCAGGAGTATTGAATTATATTTAATCAGGCATATTATCTTTAAATGGGTTTATCCTGGTAAAATTTCTACTATCACTAAGAAATTTAAAAAAAAGTTAATTCAAAAATCTGACATTCCAGAGAACGCTTCTGATGATATTTGCGTTGTAGTCCATTGTATATCGATTAGAATATTGTACTGTTTCATTTCAGTTGCAGAACTGTGTATGAATTCATTCATAAAGCACAAAAAAACTTCTATATTTCTATCAATGCTTCATATTTCTGGCAATTCTCAATGTAACTTACATACAATAGTCAAAATTATAACTGCTTGATGCAATTACCTAGTACTAGATAAAATGCATGTACAGACCATGTCCCGTGTTCAGGCCAGCCTGAGTCTACCTGGATCACCATTCAATCTTCGGCGTGGCTCCAGAGGTAGTCACCAGTTCACGTGTATGCGTAACAATCGCCGCATGGTGGCACCACCTGGTGACCGAAAACCTCTGGTTTTGTCTACATATTTAGATGCACAGGAACATCTGCCATATGCTGATGATTCGAATGCGGTCACCCCTATGAGTGAGGAAAATGGAGCCATGGTCGTACCTATGTACTATGCTAACTTGGGTACGTATTTGATTATATAACTTGAACCCTTTTTTGAGAAAGCAATGAAGATGATCTGAAATTCTGATTAACATTGAAATTGATGAAAATAGAAAGATTTTGGAAATCTCACCATTGCTTGTAACTGTTCGTAAATATTCAAATCTCAATCAGGGTCACGACATTCTTCATACACTTCGCACGCTTCACGGATGTCATACACCTCACACGGAGATCTATTAGGTGGTTTAGGTGGAAATGGAAAAGTTATGACCAAAGAAAGCCAACTAAGATCCAGGTCGATGAGGAACGGACCGGCAACAGCACCAAATAATTTCAGAGAGTACACTCCAAGAGCTTACCAGGGAGATTATGTAAGTTAGCAAGACCTAGAGTCAGAGGAACATGAACACTAGTGTCAATTCTTTTCAATAGGAAGGGCCAACCGGACAGACATGTGAAGGAAAACTGAAGCATTTAGACAATCCATTTATCGATAGTAATCAAAGGCAAACTGTGGTAGACATGCAAGGTAACAAAATCCGGAAATGACAATTGATATTTTCTAAATACTACTATTTTTCAGATGTTATGGTTTTGAACGACATAATAGAGCAAGCAGCTGGAAGACAAAGTGGTGCCAGTGAACACGGCGGTAAGTTCATTATTTCAACTAACCCCAAAGACAATGATACCCTCTCTGTCTCTTTACACCATCGCAATTTGCTTAAATTAGGTGTGACTGCACTTAATGTTATATAATCATATGCTGCTAGAACAACTACTAATACACATTTATTTACATTTTTTCTGTGTGGAGGATTAATAAACGAGAAATACTTTATTAGGTAAATAAAACAAGTTTATATCGCAAATGTGGCACAACCTCATTGTATTGGAGCACTAAAATTGGTAGGGTGATAGTATTCATAAAACATCTAGCAACGGACACGAATATGTGCTTCATAAAACATATCGGCAGATATAAGCCGAATGCTCAATTATTGCAAGTTCCAAATGAAAATGAAAAATGATTGGTCCTACCAATGCATTCTGTCCGTTCGCTCGACATATAATAGATACATGTAACTTGATATTCCATTTAGTCGATATTAGAGAATTAGCATTAACTCTCAAAGCAATAGAATTAGAATTTGTTGCTAGATAGAAAATGCTATTTATATTCATCTACTGTTTTTTTCCTCCGGCTGATTTGTTTTAGCATGTTGTTCCAAGCAAATATTTTATGCATTTACGGAAACGGAAGTGTCACTGGAATAGCCTAAGGAGACGTAATAAGTTGGAAAGAAGTTAGGAACCATCAAATCAAGAAAGAATTATCAGTACATTAAACAAAAGTATCAAAAATCATAGGAAAGAAACTACAAATACGTATAACATACCAGGATTAAAGTTTCAGACTCAAACCTTCTCCTTGGGATCAGTCTATGGCACTTCCAGTCCAATATATACATGGTGAATTTATCTAAGTAAAATACTTGATTGAAATATGCCTGATTTGTTCTTATCCAAAGCAATTTCCGATGGTGTCAAACACGTTGTTGCTTCAGCTTGTGGTATAATCATTAGACCAATAATACTACGTTCTGCTCTAAAATTATCTGAAGACAGGTGCCATTAGTGTTTCTATTACTTACTAAGAGTCCTGTATCTCAGCTTTCTTCCATAATCATCAAATATACCAAAGTTTGAACTTAACCAGGAGTTAAGAACGGCTGTCACTATCGCATATTGCACAAAACCTCTTTCCCCAAAAAAGAGTGTGTCAACTTCACTTATACTAATTCGTCATACAGTTTCTACTTATTATTTCTCAGCCCAAAATGATGGTGAGCAGGAAGAGCCGACAATGAAGGAACGCGTATTGGCATTTATAATGAAAGTCATTGATATATTTTGCGTATGGGATTGTTGCGAGCCCTGGTTGGTTTTTCAAAAGTTCATAGCCCTTATTGTATTCGATCCGTTCGTCGAACTCTTCATCACCCTGTGCATCGTGGTGAACACCCTGTTCATGGCCTTAGATCATCACAATATGGACAAGGATTTGGATAAGGCACTGAAAAGTGGAAACTATGTAAGTTGTCATCAACTCAACTTTTTGTATTTTCTGAAATATTATTTCAGTTTTTCACGGCTACATTCATGATCGAGGCGACAATGAAACTAATAGCGATGAGCCCGAAATATTATTTTCAAGAAGGATGGAATATTTTTGATTTTATTATCGTAGCATTATCTCTGCTAGAGTTGGGCCTTGAAGGTGTTCAAGGTTTATCTGTTTTGAGATCATTCCGACTGGTGAGTTTCGTTTACCTGAATTTTCTTTGTATGCACATTTTTTATTGCAGCTGAGAGTGTTCAAATTGGCCAAATCGTGGCCGACTTTAAACTTACTCATTTCTATAATGGGTAGAACTATGGGTGCTCTAGGTAACCTGACCTTCGTGCTGTGCATTATTATATTTATATTTGCTGTTATGGGTATGCAGTTATTTGGAAAGAATTATACAGGTGAGTTTCAATTTCAATAACTACAATAAAAAGTCGCCTATTATTTTTATGAATAATACACCAATTTTATTCTGCATACCCTCAACATCAGAAAAAAATTGATAATTTAGATCGAAGTATTGAGTTTTGTCATCCCTAGTTTATAAGAAAAACAATTCAATGTGCAGAAATAAGAACAGCAATAAATACACTGGCTCTTTGTAATGTAGTGAAATAACGAGTGAAATTTGAGTTCATCACGGCCTCAACTGATAATTTGGGTAAACATTTCAAATTAATATCTCATTTCCTTCTCGAGTTATCGTTGACCATATTTTTTTGCGGAGACAGACAGAGAAACGGTTTGACAGAATCAGAATTTTCCGAAAAATGTTATGTTTTGACGCTGATCATTTACTTTCCAGTAACCATGGGTTTATTTCTTGAAATACAATAGTTGGGGTCCGCTACAAAGATAGTTTTATATTTTATTGAGTTAAATTTTTCATAATACCTAATGCTGAACCTCCACAAAATATGCATACCTTGGCATTTTTCATCACTGATTAGTCCAGCTCCTTAACTGTTTATAATGTTGCATAATGCACTAGAGTACATTTCCATTTCTATTTTCAGACAATGTCGACAGATTTTTAGATCATGAACTACCAAGATGGAATTTCACAGATTTCATGCATTCATTTATGATAGTATTTCGAGTACTCTGTGGAGAATGGATTGAATCAATGTGGGACTGTATGTTGGTTGGAGATGTATCCTGTATCCCATTTTTCCTAGCCACAGTTGTTATTGGCAATTTTGTTGTGAGTATATTACCACTTTTATCAAAGAAAATATACTTATCTTGCCATAAACGCATCCGATGTCATCATGTTCATTTGTGATTAAGAAAGCATTTTATAATATATACAGTTATTTTTAAAATGCTACCATTTCTATCAATGTTGTCTCGAGTTGGCCTAATATTGACTATATATTATTAATGGAAAATGACCATGTTCAAGTCACTAAATTATTTTCAGAAAGGGTGATCACTAGTGTCGGATTCATTTTTTAATATTAGTGATCCAAAAGAGAGCCCATTTGTATGCATGAATTACCTACTCATGAAAATTGAAAAAATGGATACTTTTAGGAGAGATAACTTTTTTGGGAAGAAAAAGTTTTTGACGTCCTACTTCTCCGTCTTCAAACAAAAAATGTGGGAAACTTCCATAGAAAGGAAGAAAAAAATATCTACAATAAACATTATCTAGAAGGATATGTAGATCATACAGAAACGTTTTTTTAACACAAATTGGAAGGAAAACAACTACTTTCAAATTAACATTGAAATACACGAAAGAAAAAAGTCATTTCAAAACAACTACTTTTATATGAAAATTGAATCACACGAAAATCACTTTCTTCATTCAGCTTGTACTCCAAACAATACTTATGGAATCAAAACAAATATCATTCTCAAGGATGCTACACAACGTAATATATGAAAGAGTATTGATATAAAATATCACTTACATGGAACATTATCATTGTAAATTGTGTATTTCGAAGTTTCTGGACAAGATACTTGCTTGTCCGTTTTAAGATAACATCATGAGACAAAGCACTAATTTTTTCCATAACATCACGATTTTATGTCACTGAAAGAGACAACTCTGCTCTCTTTACAATGACAGTTTGTATACACATTCATATGGATAGTTAATTTAATCACAGCATGTAATTTCTTTTAAATTGAAAAAAGGAATACTCAAGGAGAGATTAATTCCATAACGAATGTTTGGAGTACAAGCTGAACAAGAAAAAGTTGTTTTCGTGTTCATATGAAATTAATTGTTTCAAAAGGGCTTTTTTTTGTGTAATTCAGCTTTTTTTTTCTGAAAGAAACCCCTGTTTATGGTCTACATATCTTTATGGAAAGTTTTCATTATAGTTATTTTTTTCTTTGGAAGTTTTCCACATTTTGTGTTTATTGATGTAAAAGTAAAAAGCCAAAAGCTTTTTTCCAAATAACTTCTTATACTCCTTAGTGCCATGCCAGTCTCAGTGCAACAACAACTGACAATTGATGTATCTTTTAGTACAACTAAAATTCTGACTTCATGTTTCAGGTTTTGAATCTCTTCTTGGCCTTGCTCTTGAGTAACTTTGGTTCATCAAGTTTATCGGCTCCAACAGCTGACAACGATACTAATAAAATAGCGGAGGCATTTGATAGAATTGGTCGTTTTATCAAATGGATCAAGGCTAGTGTTGCAGATATCGCAAAACTGATTAGGTTTAAATTAACAAACCAAATATCAGACCAGCCGTCAGGTGAGGGACCCTCCAACAGTTGGAACCAAGGTTTTTATCCAACAATCTGAATAGCTAGCTGATAGTTATATGCTTGATGTTATCAGATAGTTCTCTTTAGGTGTAACACACATGTTTATCGTCTAGCATGCTCAGTAGTCTTTGCGTTTGAAATAATGGAAAAAAGTGTTTGCTGATGAACTTGCATTATCACCATTTGGAAGGAATCAGACAATTTCTGAATATTCACAAGTGACATGAACATATAGGGCGTTCTTAATAGCTAATCGCACTATTGCCATCTCGGAAACGGTAAGACCTACATGGTTGGTTAAATTGGACAAAAGTTTTCTTTTTTTGAAAACTAGAATTATCTCTTTTCAGATCAAGAATATCAGTAGTTATTTTTGAAATATTCGCCAAAAACCTGAATTGTCAAACACGGAGTTGTTGGAAAATTTGCCTTTGAATATTCTGAAAAAGTATCAGTATTTCCAACTTGATGCAACTCCGCCACATCGCAGAACTATTTGCAGATATTTTCTCAATACAACTATGCCAGACTCTATCAAATTGGCCACCACATTCACCTGACCTGACCCTTCTGGGTCAGGTGAGATGAAATCTAACGGCCGAAACGTTTTATTGCAAATTACTTTGTATCGGATTATAAGAAATATGAAACAGTATTGAAAGTTCATCTGTTTTTTTTATATCATTTGAAATGGAAAGTCGACAATTCTTATTTTGCTGAATATTTCAAAAACCACCACCAATATTCTGGATAGGATATTTTTATCAAGGGAGATTGATCCCCCCGAAAGTTCTACAAGCAACGGCCATCCAAAAATTATATCAAATACAACGATTGGCTTGTTTAAACATCACAGGAGGTTGCGTTAATGGCCATGTTACGATTGTGCACGACTGGTGTAAACCTCGAAGTAGGAATGGGTCAATTGAGGCTGAGCCTATGGCGAGAAGCTTACTACGCAACCTCCGCTGCAGGCAACGAGTGATGCAATTGAACCCAGGTTTGTGTTTAATAAACCCTACAGAATACAAATAAAATAGAACACAGAGTCAGATGCTACAAATGCAATACGCATATATACAGACGGCTCAAAAACCAGAAAGCTCAGGATGTGAGGTGTACTCCAGATGACTAAGCCTAAGGATTTGGTGGGGAATGGAAAAAAAAACCAGCGTGGTTCAAACAGAACGGGCTGGTATCTCAATCGCCACAAAAGAAATAACCAGGAAAGGAATTCCTGGCAAAAACTTAACAATCTGCACTGACAGCAGACAAGCCCTATTAGCCTTGAACAGACGTGTTACCTCAGGGCTAGTACTAGAGTGCCATCAAGATTTAGCCAAAGCCTCGGTAGATAATAACATCATCCTGAGGTGGATTAAAGGGCACTACAGGAGTAAAGGTAATCGCATTGCCAACTCTTTAGCCAAGGAAGTGGCTGGACTAAGAATTTTAGGACCCAGTGGCACCTACGGCCTGATGACTTCGACAATTGCGGAATTAGCCAAACGTTACACCCATGCTCAATCCCTAAAGAGATGTGATGAAATCAAAGGATGCAATCTTGCCAGGATCATCCTGGGTGACTCTGGGAAGCTGGCGCTGAAGAAATATCTGGCGATGACCAGGAAAAATCTACGCTTAACAGTAGGATTTCTGACTGGTCACTGTCAACTAAGAAAACATATTCATAATATGGGGCTAGTAGACACACCTCTATGCAGGTGTCTTATGCGAGTGTCCGGAGTTATCGTCAATAAGAGAGTGTTCGTTCGGCGAGTCTTGGCCTACACCTGCCAATATAAAGATGTCTCCTAGTGATCTGTCCACCTTCCTGGAAAGGACAGGATGGACGATGACTTAGGAGGACAACTTCTTGGGAAGATGTAGAATGGGCTGTGGGCCTACACTCACCCTCCCTACTCTACAGATACAGATACTATTGGATTTATAAAATCCGTTAGAAATTTTATCGTCTTTGGCAAAACGAACCAAGTGCCTTAAAGAGAATATTGAAAATAACTTCCCTGAAACACAATGAAAAAACCTTACGGCAATGTGCGTACAAACTTTCAAAGCTTTTGGCGACACTTCCTTTTTCCACATGTACCCCTGAAAGGACTTTCTCTTCTCTGAAACGCCTCAAAACTCATTTAAAAAACTCCACAAGCCAGGAACTACTAAACGGTTTGGTGTTAATGTCAATCCACCGTAGAATTAACATCGACACCGAGGAGGTAATTCATTTGTTTGCTGCAAAGAGAGCTAGAAAAATAAATTTGTAACACCATTTTCTTTCTTTCGTTATTTTTATATTTCATGTTTTTCTATTGTTCCACCAAACCAAATCCCCCCTAAATTTTTTTCTGGCTACGGCCTTGTAGACAATGGAAGTCCGAAATAGTAAAATTCACCATGAAACAGTAGGTTAAGGTTCTCACCCCCAAGACTATTGAGTGAATGAGGATTTTTTCCAGATCCAAGAGATGGTGGCCTGGATATACCGGGAGACGAAATATTGGCAGATGGTATGATTTTCAAAGATAAAAAAAGTCCGAAAGATAGGTTAGAAGTAACAATAGGCGATGGTATGGAATTCACGATACACGGTGATTCGAAAACAAATTTGAAGAGAGGCAAAAATATAAGCAATATTAACAAAAGTAAAACAATTGGTAACTCCATTTTAGATCACTCTGATTTCCTTGGGCATTTGGATGACGACGAAATCAGTAATAAATCTTATGGTAGTCACAAGCACAGGTTCAGAGATGAAAGCCATAAAGGGAGTGCCGTTGTTTTAGATGATCAAGAAGAAAAACGCGATGCCAGCAAAGAAGAACTGGGAATCGATGAAGGTAACACAGATACTTTTCATCAAAAGAATCAAAATAACATTGTTTTCATTGCAGAAATGGAAGAAGATGAGTACGATTGTCAGGGGGCATTGGAAGATGACATCATAGACGCAGTTACCGATGATATAATTATAGACGAATATTCCGCAGACTGTTTTCCAGAAAAATGTTACAAGAAATTTCCATTTTTGGCCGGCGATGACGACTCGCCATTCTGGCAAGGATGGGCAAACCTGAGGTTCAAAACATACAAATTAATAGAAAACAAATATTTTGAAACAGCAGTTATAACAATGATTTTGCTCAGCAGCTTAGCACTAGCACTAGAAGATGTCCATTTATCATCAAGGCCAATATTACAAGATATTTTGTACTACATGGATAGAATATTTACAGTAATATTTTTTTTCGAAATGTTAATAAAATGGTTAGCTCTAGGTTTCCAAAAATACTTCACGAACGCATGGTGCTGGTTGGATTTTGTAATTGTTATGGTGTCCCTAATAAACTTTGTCGCATCTTTATGCGGAGCTGGCGGTATTCAAGCATTCAAGACAATGAGAACTCTGAGAGCTCTAAGGCCGCTAAGAGCAATGTCGCGAATGCAGGGAATGAGGGTAAGTTTAAAAATTTGAGAAGTTATGCATAACTAAATGAAAACGTTTCTGATAGGTTGTAGTAAATGCATTGGTACAAGCTATACCCTCTATCTTCAATGTATTGCTAGTGTGCTTGATATTTTGGTTGATTTTTGCTATCATGGGTGTACAGTTGTTTGCGGGAAAATATTATAAGGTAACTATTTTTTCCTAATACAATACACTTTCACTTAATGACTATATTATTTTCAGTGCGTAGATAATAATAAGTCAGTGTTGAGTTTCGAAATCATCCCAGACTATAATGCTTGTAAAGCAGAAAACTATTCCTGGGACAATTCTCCGATGAATTTCGATCACGTTGGCAAAGCATATCTCTGCCTCTTTCAAGTAGCAACATTCAAAGGTTGGATCCAAATAATGAACGATGCAATTGATTCCAGAGAAGTGAGATAAATCAAACAGAAATTGAATCTCCATGCACTCATTATATTTTAATTTTCAGCTGAACAAACAACCAATCAGAGAAACCAACATTTACATGTACCTTTATTTCGTATTCTTCATCATATTTGGATCTTTCTTCACTCTTAACTTGTTTATAGGAGTAATTATCGACAACTTCAATGAACAAAAGAAAAAGATAAGTATCTCTTCCTTCAATTCATGTCAGTTTACTCAATACCCAGCTAGCATCCTTTGTGGTTGATAGTTCATACTGGCGTAAAATGAATCTATTGAAAACACTTTCCCAACACCAGAACAAAAAATTACGGTCTCTCAACGCGCGTTTCGCTAAGCAAATTAGCGTCCTCGGGAGACCATTATGATCTAACTTGGTTAGCGAAACGCGCGTCGAGAGACCGTAATTTTTTGTTCTGGTGTTGGGAAAGTCTTTTCATTAGATCATTGTGGTCTTCAAAATACATGTTTCAGGAGGCCTAGTTTTTGGACTTCATTTGTTGATAAGTTGAGAACGAGAACAAATTAGATATAATGCCAATATATCTAGTCTGGTCTACTGACCAAACTAGAAACGTTTTCTGAATTATACCAATTCTCAAACATTTTCCAGTAGGTTATTGTGATCTCTGGGTAATGATTCTGAAAAACATATTATATTTGAAATATCATTATTATAGATAATTTTATGAAGTCTCAGGTTAACTATCATTAGAGTTTCCATTTTGTCTTTGAAGTTTCATAAGACAAGTAAAATATGAACTCCTATGAAAGTATAAGGTCTAGGAATAATTTATTTGATAATGAAATTTCATTCATACAAAGTTACAAACAATATTTGAGAATAGTGCAAAATAATTGAAATAACTGATACGCAGGAGGATCTCTGGAAATGTTCATGACTGAAGACCAGAAGAAATACTACAACGCAATGAAGAAAATGGGTTCGAAAAAGCCAATGAAAGCTATACCTAGACCGAGGGTAAGATTTTTTTATCAAATGAAATTTCACGAAGGATATTCAATTGTTTAAATTGAAAGCTTCAATTGATCTATCTATTTATTCATTTTATGTATTCCTTATTCAAGACCTGCATCAAAAAAATATTGAAATAGTTTTCAAGATATATTTATAAAACAGATAAATTCAACAAGTGTGCCTAAAAACGTTCATTGAAAATTTTGAAACTGAGGAAAAAAATACAGATATTGGAAACATAAAATATATCAACTGATAATTGATGAAAATATCTAGATATTGTATCACCAGTAACTCAATATCACAATAATTAATTATGTGAAACATATTCTAGGACTGAATTTGCAACTTTCTCTTCAGAATAAAATAAATCTTAGTTATCAAAACAAGATGTTCAAATTTATTTATTTTTCTATTTTATTATGTATACCCTTTTTAAAAAACATCCCGAAGATTGCTTGTATTGTAACAAAAAACTGAAAATTACATTTGTATTTGAACATAGAACTAAATCTTTGTTTTCTATCTTTCAGTGGAGACCCCAAGCGATAGTGTTTGAGATAGTAACCAACAAAAAATTCGACATGTTCATTATGTTGTTCATCGGTTTGAACATGTTGACGATGACGATGGACCACTATCAGCAGAAGGAGACATTCACGAAAGTTCTGGACTACCTCAACATGATTTTCATAGTTATATTTAGTACAGAGTGCCTCATGAAAGTGTTTGCTTTGCGTTATCACTATTTTACGGAGCCATGGAACCTTTTCGATTTAGTGGTCGTCATTTTGTCCATTTTGGGACTGGTGCTCAGTGATATTATTGAAAAATACTTTGTGTCACCTACCTTACTGAGGGTGGTAAGAGTGGCAAAAGTGGGGAGAGTTCTTCGTTTGGTCAAAGGAGCTAAAGGAATCCGCACGTTGCTTTTTGCACTCGCCATGTCACTGCCTGCGCTCTTCAACATCTGTTTGCTGCTATTTTTGGTCATGTTCATTTTTGCTATATTCGGGATGTCATTCTTCATGCACGTCAAGGACAAAAGTGGCCTAGACGACGTTTACAACTTCAAAACCTTCGGACAATCCATGATTCTCCTATTTCAGGTGAGAACAACTAAAAATTAATAATATCTATATTCAGTCAGACAGCAAAAATAATAATTTCATTGTATATTAATTACTTCCAATAATTTGGATGTATAATAATACGTATTTCCAAAACCAAGCAACAAAAAACTGAAGAACATTTTTTTTCAAAAGCTATAAATCAACATAACACATGAATTCATCACAAAAAAATATTAGAGCCAGAAAATGTTTCAAACTGATGAAGACTTGAAGAATTATTGTGCATAGGTAGATATTTCCCTTGAAATTACCGAAGAACAAGAGGGTTTTTGAACCAACAATAATTATTTGAAGGTGGTATCTATAACAAGATAGTGGATTCTCCCAATTTTATTTGAAAAAACAACAAAGGAATATAAATCTGAGACAATTTTGGAACGGGCACACTTGAAGGTCGACTCTTTCAGTTGTATTGCCAATTGCATATGCAGGAAATTTTCTGTGAAGATTCCTGCACTGACGCCTGTCGGATATAATCCAACGCCCTTCGTGGTATTAGCCAGGGGCGTTGTTGTTTTCTGATAGGCGTCAGTCCATTCAACCTACTGTGTAGGTATATTCGAGACTGGCTTGAACGTTTAAAGTTCATTTCTTTAGATTTGTTTACTGCCAGTCTTAAAGCATAGCCCACTGACTAATAAGAAAACTATAATATAATGTTTTTATCATTATGTGTAAATTGGGTTCTGTACCCATTCTTCTCTAATGTATGAGACTGAATAGTTCTTTGTGGTATATTTGTCATATTCATATGGACCCAATTCTGAAACTCATTTGCTTGCCTTAAATCGTGCCCACTTTCTACTGCACTATCTATAATTATTCATGGTATTTATCCTAATTTAAAATAGGGGCTGTTGGTATGGGTAGATTTCAATCTCCCCTCTAACATTTCAGTTTGCATTTTTCTTGCCTGATTGTGTTAGAAAAACTGATCCATGTTAGAGAAACTGATGAGATGTTATTTTCCACATTTTAAAGTGTCTAGACATCAGTATAGAGTCAATCTATCTAGAATGAAACCGTCAGCTAAGTATGAAATATTTCAAACCAAGAACTGATTTCACTCTTGGATTTCTCATTGCCCTGGTAATGATTTTTTGACATTACCAATAAGCATCTGTAGTTTCGATATATTTTAATGAAAAGCGGATTCATGTTCATTAAGGTGGTATATGTTGTTTCTGTGAAAGACCAAATTTTTAGTTTGATTATATTCAGTTAAAACTCACAGGTGACAATAATGACCATACCATTTTTTGAAACCGCTGCTTTGATAGGCATATTGTGCATTGCAGTATGGTTCAGTCATCTCAGCTTGACACTTTGGTATTCAATAAGACTTGCAGACAAATCTTAAATATGTTAGAGGTCTAGAATTGAATGCTTGTCATGAAATTATTTAACCTTATGTGTAGTAGAGAGTCTTTATGCTAGAGTGCACCAATGTTGTCTGTTAAAGAAATGTGATCCATATGAAAACAAAATGTAAGAGTAGTATTCAGGGAGTAGTCTTGGTTGCCGTCTTAGGTTATCTTTATCCAAACCTACAGTTCGTTCGCTGAACAGATAGAGTGATCACATGCATTTTGCGTGTCTAGAAAGATAACGTCCATGTTTATACAATACTATTAAAACTAAATAATAATAATAAATCGACTGTATTCATCTAAAAAAAAAAATGTATAGCAATTTCGTTGCGAAGTTTGAATAATATATGAAATAATATGAAAAAGTATGATGTAAGAAAATGTTAGTTAACCGAACTGAAAAATGCAGATGATAGAATTTGTTTGCCTGTATGAAAAAGTCGAAGGAAAAAATTCATACACCAATAATACTGCACCTGTGAAAAATCAGGAGCAGATCATGCTTTTTACCTCATCTGGTCGGTGAAGATACTGTATATGACGTGAGTATTCGTAGCGATAACAACTAACATTTCATTAGAATAGCATATATTCAAGTGCTTATCATTGGAAACTTCTGTTTAGTATGACTGATTCATAAGGGAGTCAGAGCTTTGTCTTAGGATGAAATACAGAACGAAAGGTAGAACTGGAACCTCTTGCGTAGAATAAATCCAAAACAAGCACTTTCCCCAAACACCAGTACTGCAACACTTTTCTCGACGCACCTTTCACCAACCAAATTGGCGTCTTCAGGAGATACAGCAAACTGATATTCACAGTACACGTGGTTATATTTTTACTTGTATAGGAGACAATTTCAAATGGTTTGGTAGTTATTCATACAACGCCAAACTGAATCATACCACATAGTACTAGTTTTTTTGTCTAATTTTCAATTGAAAGGGCTGTTTTGGAACCTTCATTTCATTGATTGATTCAAAATATATGGGAGAAGACTAGTTTTCACTATTATTGCTCAATATTCAAGTAACCTCACAGCCTTAGCAGAGGGACAAGTAAATTATTTTGCAGTTTCTTTGTAATAAAAATATTTTCCCAATAATAATATCCTCTTTACTTTCAGATGTCCACTTCGGCTGGTTGGGATGGCGTTTTAGACGGGATCATCAACGAGGAAGAATGTAAGCAACCAGACAACGAAATTGGAGAAACGGGTAACTGCGGCAATTCCACCATAGGCATAATTTTCTTATTGAGCTATCTTGTTATATCGTTCCTCATAGTAATAAACATGTACATTGCTGTTATATTGGAGAACTATTCTCAAGCGACCGAAGACGTACAAGAGGGTCTCACAGACGACGATTATGACATGTACTATGAGATCTGGCAGCAGTTCGATCCCGATGGAACCCAGTACATTCGTTACGATCAACTATCTGATTTTTTGGACGTGCTAGAGCCACCATTGCAAATACATAAACCGAACAAGTATAAAATTGTTTCGATGGACATACCAATCTGCAAGGGTGATCTTATGTTTTGTGTAGATATATTAGACGCTCTCACTAAAGACTTTTTCGCCCGCAAGGGTAACGCTATCGAAGAAACTGCTGAGTTGGCGGAAGTTCAAGGACGACCAAACGAGGCCGGTTACGAGCCAGTTAGTTCGACCCTCTGGAGGCAACGCGAAGAATACTGTGCTCGACTGATACAAAACGCGTGGAGGAAGCACAAAAGGAATCGCGGAGGTGCTACAGATCAGTCGGATGAAGGGGAGGCCGACGTCGAAGGGGAACTCGAAGCCCGGCAAACAGCGGTCCTAGTAGAAAGGAACGGGCACAAAGTAGTGATACATAGCCGTACACCCAGCATAAGCTCAAGAACTGCGGATGTATGAGACTGGTCCCGCCCCTCCCCAACCCCGCCATAGTCAGGTCGCTATGCTCAGATGGCCACAACGCACGTTCCTTTATCTCGGCTGAATTCGAAATTTTTCGTTACTCATACATCGAAATTCGTACATCCTATCCGATTTGCGTTTCCAATTTTGTTAAGTTGATAGACCAGAATATGTCCGAGATAAAAACTTCACGTGACGAAATTTGTGCAGTGTAGTTTGATGGAGAGAGTATCGTTTTTCAGGTATCAACTGATTTGCTGCTCATATTACTATTGGCATATCAATGAATCACCAATCTGTCAAAAATATGGATTATAGTTGTATGTTCAGTCGATTGGTGAGTGCACACTGCTAAATGATACTGAATGGTTTCTGATGTAGATGTCTCAGCACTGGTTCGGCGATTAAATCACCAAATGGAGTTTCAGCAGTGGGCAGTCACCTCAGATAGTTGATTCAATTTATATTTCTTCTCGTTGATCGAGGAATCCTAGTTATTTCAGGTCTAATCACAACTGAATGATCACACTAGTAGGTGATCATTCAGTTACTCTGAAATCAACAGAATTCCTCTCATCATTTGAGTACTGTAAAATGATCATAGAAAATAACATTTGTATTAACTGCTATCAATATGACAACCCTGCTTAGAATATGATCAGCCACTTTTGCTCTCTATGAGCATAGGAAGCTGAAGTCAACAACATCCTGAATCATTCTGTCTTAAAATGATGCCTTTAGAAACAAAATGTACAAACAGTTAGTGGCAAAAATAGTCTCAATTTTGAGGGCAGCAGTTCCCAAGATGCTCCCAAATATTGTGATCTAGTAAGCATTGATATGTATATTAATAACTCACAAGCAGATAGATGATTCAGGTTTCAAACTTAATTCGTTGAAAAGTGCATTTTTGACAACAATTTCCGAGACTTAATTACCTCTTGCATAAACTTGCCAATGCACAAGCAGTTAAAAATGCATTTTTTGAATTTCGTAAAGATATATTCTAAATATGGCTTGAATCAATGAACAATAAACCATTAATAAAGTGGAATATTTTAAAATCACAAGTTATATATAATGGTGCTTTCTTCAATTGCTTATTTTCAAGCTATCTTCACATGCTACATGGACCGCTAAAGGGGAGGGGCAAATGGGAGAAATTTGCAGAATTCACAAATTTTTGTAGCCTCATACAAAACAAAGAGTGTGAATGTGTGACATTTTTCGACACTTATTTTCCAGCAATAAATAGTAAACCCTATTTCAAGGATTTGCTTTCTGCTAATAAACCAATTTTTTAGAGTGAAATATATGATTCAACACATAAAACAAGCATTTGAACATGATGTCGGCACAAATTTTCAATATACTTCCACAACACATTTTGTACAGTATGCATTTTTCAGAAAAGCTGGAGGAATGGAACCTAGTTTTGTGATAACATGTCAAACGCTTGAAAAGTGTCACCCATACATAGATAAATTTATTCATAACTTTCTAAATAACAAGAAGTACCAGCAATAATGCTGTAGTTCTTTGTTATAAATGCTGTTATATTATTTTCGTTGAAACAATTGATTAGTATATTATTGTTGAAATTTTATATAAATATTGTAGTCAAGGGAAGTGTTTGGTTGATTTGTTTTCCCCTATTAAGTTCGCATAAACCACCTTCAATCTCTGTTAATATATACTATCATTCCCAGGCAGTATATAATGACTAGAAGATTTCAAGAGTCCTGCAGTGTTCAGGTTAATCATTATACAGGGTAAACCAATCGTCTGTAATAAATATAAATTATCATCTGGATTCTTAAAGAAATAGTCTTAGATTTTATTATGTTTCGCATATTATATCGCATATAGATACAAAAGTGACACTTCGTATTTCGAGTACCTAGCAATAAGAATTTTGTTAAAATATTCCAAGAGATTCAACAGTTCATATGTTGTATCCTAAACAAGGATGCAGAACTATTTTCAGATCAAAACACTGTGTTTTAATCAAAGCTCAATAACTTCCATTTATGATTCAACCACGAACCTTGTCAATGACGTCATGAAATGCTAACTTTCGAACATTTCAACAATATAAACAATCCCTTCATTCATTCTCATGACGAAAATTCACAAGAATAAAATTTCTAACTCAATCTCCCCTTATCCCTATGAGGGTCGAATAGACCCACTCACTTTGGACCTAACCTAACCCAACCCCTTATCCCTATAGCAACCTTAAACAAAATTTTTAGATGACCCGTTCAAACATATCTAAGGTGAATTCTCCGGAATAAATTTCTCAAAAATCTCGATGCCATTTCTGATATCACTCGTCTTAGACTCTTAACTTATACAATAGGATACTATTCTTCATCAGATGATTTGTGCACCCTATATATGCTCAGAAATTTTTAAAAGTGTTTCCTATCAAGAATACGTAATTGATGACGAACTATGACCATTTAAAACAAAGATCATTACATGAATCATGAAACTGAATAAATGAGGGCAATAAAAACATGGTTGTTCATTGTTGAGTATTAGATTTAGTTAAGTGTTTGTTATTAATATGTAAATTAATATCTGAGTGGAACAGTGTTGCCTTATTTAATGTTTTGATAGCCAGAAACGACAGTCAATCAAACACTTTCCATATTCCAAGGCGCAAAGTGATAAATATATTTATACAGGCAATCGCAACTATACAAAATTATTTGATTCCATTACCTAACTCTACAGCTTCATTTTTTCATGTTTAAACCTAAGTTATTTTCAAACATGGCCTCATGTTAATGTTCAAAAAAGAAGCTACAAAACTTATCCAAAAATAAAATATACATTTTGCACATGACTGTAAACATGCTTTTTTATATTTTGCATATAATTTAAATAACAAATTGTGTAGATACATGTTGACATGCACATGAAATGAGTCAAATGTGTACGGAACTTAGTATCTACATTTCCAAACCCATTCATGTAATATAATGAATAATCATAGTATTACAATATATATACATATAATTTTTCTAAGCAATCGTTGTTTTTAGGATAGCTATTGATATATTAAGATTTAGTTTGTAAGCTTTGCGAAGAATTAAAGCGATCTCGATTTGAATTTGAAATAATTATTGTCCATCTACCATTCTATTACATTTTTGTTTTATTATCAATTTGTTTTAATAAAAAATCAAGAAATTGTATACACACCATTTATATCAACCATTTAATGACACCACAAGCACCTATAAGGAACAAAGACATATCGACAATTATACTGTAACAAATATGGAAATTTGACAACAAAATTCATTATAACGAATTTCGATATAAAAAATGGCCTCAGACAGATGGATTTTTTTCAAAAGTGACATTTTTACTACTAGTCTTCTATCTTCTTTCACGGTTCTACAGAACGATATCAAATTCTAAATTCGGTAGAACTTTTTATTTGTAATTTTTCAAATTATAACCACTATCATTTGCAACTTATTATTCAAATACCCTATACATATTTCAACTTCTGTTGACTACCAATGTTCACAATCTGATGAAAGTTCTTTTTCCAATAGAAGTAACCAATGAATAGTAACCAAGGAATATTGTTAATTTGAAAATATTAGAAGTTATTTTCGAAATGAAACAATAAAGGGCAAATGATGAACAGATTTTCTTAGATGTTCACCCAAATTTTTTCATTGTAATTTTTTTCATCCCTGAAAAGAACTTCTTAGTCGAAATGAAAAAAAAAAATCTAACCTGAGAGGCAATCTTTTTCACTTACTATAAATGGATCTTAGGCACCAAGTATAAAAATGATAGCATGTGACGCGACATTTCAAGAAACAGTACGATCATCATGGATTTTAACCAACATATGCCAAATCTGTCAAAAAACTATGTTTGCCTCGTTTGTAAACTGTTTCAATGTATTTGTGTACCTGGAGCAGGTGGGAATTTGCACAATTTAGTAAATTTGTCATAAAATTCGTAATTTTTATGTGTTATCATAAGAACACTTTGTTTTATATATAACTTTTTTCATGTGGTGCATAAATTCGTCTCATAAGCTCGATTCAGCGCAAATTGCTATATTTTTGGAAGAAGCAGGATTCAAGCTCACTGGTAACATTAGAACCTCTGGTATAGAATAACTCCAACAAACACACTTTTTCCACACACCTGAACTGTGTGTGCCTTTCACAATCCAAATTTGCGTCATCAGGAAATGATCTAAATAAATTTCCAAACACTAACTCAGTTTATAAAAAGTAAACTACCTGAAGACCAATCCAATCTAAACAGTTCAGAATGGAACGGTATGGTTCTCATGCCATACTTTGCTATTTCCAGAATGAAAAGCATCCAGATGTCTCGTGATGTGTACCGTTCACAACAATTTCAAGCAAGACGACACTTGACTGTTCTGGTCCACCAACTCTAATATGCATCCTGGAACTAGTTTCAATATCTCATTTAGTCTGGTCGATATACTTTTTCTCGCAGCTCTCATAGCCCATTCTATGAATTCTTTACTCCTGTTCTCATCATTTTCTTTTTGGGTTTCCTAATAATACATACACGTTGTAGCCAGGATGGTCGCTGGTAGCCTGAATAGTTGCTCACTCGCTTGTCGCTGCATAACAACCCTTCCAGAGTAGGTAACATATAAGCGTGCATAGGAGAATTTACACATGCAATCCGTACAAAATTATTTTAGTATCTAAAGCAACTCTAGTGAGGCTAAATACAAAAAAAAAGTTTTCATTTTTCGTTTCAAGTAAAAAAAAAGATATTATTTTGTTTACATTTTATGATAACAGCATAGTCTTTCGATGACGACAACCACGGTTGATCTGAAGACTCGTCTACAAGGTATTCATCATTACATGGAATCACACGTTAAAAGGTAAGACCTCGTTAGTCCTTAGCTCATATAAGTTTCGACTTCTGAGGGTTGTCGTTCGTAGGGGTACAGCAGCCGGTTAACAGAAAAACAGATTTTAAAACAGAGACAGAACAGAATAGACATGAATTTATTTGACTCTCTACTTCAGCAGGCAAAAGGATTTCGGGGCATTCTTTCAGGAAAGGTTTTTTTTTCGGAGAAGTAGTTCTCATCCCAGTTATAACAAGATCAAATATCTGTAATATTTTATTTATGACATTATGAACTTCCAAAACTTCTGTGAGGGGGAGGAAGTATTTAGACATTTTTTGTCCAATAGGGACTTAATAGTATTGTAGAACACGTTACCCGAGTAACTGCACAATCTTGTACTAGAATCGACAATATTTTCTCTAATACCGAGGTAGAGATTAGCGTCAAAACCACTCTCAGATCATAGATATATCACAGTAAAAGTAAATTATAACTTGAATGTTGATAGGAAAAACATAAAGGTAGGTAGAAACTATAGCAGAAACAACAAACAAAAATGTTTAAATGAAAACTGGGATGTACTATATAACCATGAAACTGGTAATGACAAATGTAATAAATTTGAAAGCATTGTTCAAAATCACTTTTTTAATGCATTTTTACTACAAAATCAAAACCAGTTTTGAAGATTTGGGTAACTAATGAAGTGAAACAGTCAAGGATACAGCTTAAAGATCTATATATCCTTCAGAAAACGTATCCAATATCACGGTGAGGTACCTATTGATAATAAAAAAGTAAGCACAAACCATAGCAATGTTCTTTTTAGATGGTATCCTTCAAAAAACTGTAAATAATTTCCATGGCAACGTTAGTTTAAAACGCCTTGTCAAATTTATTTTGTATGTTACATTAGTTGTCAGTATTTTAATTCAAGTTTAAAGTTCGTTAACTTCAAGCCTGAGAAATGGTTAGATTAACGGAAATACATAAAATAAGTTATACAAATGATTGGTTACAGAGATAAAACCCGAATACAACAGGAAGTAGTTCGCCTATTTCATGAGAAATTTCCTTATTTACCGCCCATATCTCAAGGAACAATAAGCAAAATAGAGAAGCAGTTTCGCGAGCTTGGTCATGTGGGGCAGATGAAAAAAGCAGCTGATAATGCAATGAGTGATGAACTCAAATTAGATGTGATGTTTGAGTTTGAGGAAAACCCAGAAACATCGAGTAGACAAGGATACACTACATTCAATATTAGCCATACATCGATAGTAAGGTTAGGTTAGGTTTAAAGTGAGTGGGTCTATTCCACCCTCCACCGCAACCCGCAAGGGTTTATTGTGGCTCACACCTATTCACACTCGGTCAAATAAACTCAGCGTCTTAACGAAGCTGATTAGTTTGTATGGTGACTGGTCTTTCAGGTCAGACGGTAAGAGTAAGGCTCTGCCAAACTCTAAGAACCTGATTCGGTCCCCAGCGGGGCAGGCACAAAGTATATGCTCTGCTGTTTCATCATTTTCCAAACAGAGGCGACACACACTGTCTTCCGACAGTCCAGGTCTCTGCATATGATGATTCAAATGACAGTGACCTGTAAGAAGGCCTGTTAGTAATCGTAGTTCATCCCTACTGTAGTTCAACAAATGTTTGGTAAAAAGATTCGAAGGGTGAATAAACGCTTTGGAGTGAGCCAATCCTGGAAGATTCTGCCATCTGCCAGAAGTCCATAAATCTTTTTGCCATCCAGGTGTTCAATGTTTGTTTGGCAAAGCCTAAGGCGATGCCTGTCTTTGTAAACCAGAGAGCTTCGCTTGGGCCGTTTTCTGTAAAGCCTTCGGCCACCAGGCAATTGCACCATAAGTGATCATTAGTCTGACAATCATCACATAAATCCAATGGATCTGTTTGGGACCTAAGCCCCAAGTTTTACCACAAATCCTTCGACATGTCCATAGAGACAGTCTGGCTATGTGTAAAACTTTTTCCAAGTGAGCGTTCCTGGTGAATCTTTTATCAAGGATAATGCCAAGATATTTCACCTCCGTTCCAAATGGAATTACCTCACCATTGAGGTAAAGTGGCGTTAGATCGTCCAATTTTCTCCTCTTGGTGAAGGGGATTAACACAGTTTTGCTGGGGTTGACAGACATCTGCTCCCTCAGGCACCAACTATAAATAACGTCCAACGTGCTTTGGAGGATATTACAAGTTACCCTTCCCGACGTGGACCTTGCCAGGATGACAAGGTCATCTGCATAAGCTTGCAGATCAATCAGGAGCGGCCACAGAAGGGGAAATACTACTCCATCTTGAGGGCAGCCCCTGGTGACCCTGAACCTAATGGTCTCGCCTTGAAGAGTCGTAGTTGCAGTTCTGTTTACTGGCATGGCATAGATCCAGCCAGTTATGGTCGATTCTATACCCTTCCTAGCCAGAGACAATCCTATAGATTTAGGTAGTGCATTGTCAAATACTCCTTCCTGATTAACGGGAAATCCTCACTGGATGAGAGAATACCCAATACCCTCGCAATACCCTCAAAAGTATAACGTTTGGGCAAGGATTATAGGAAACTATATCATTGGTCCCTTTTTCATTGAGGGCAACTTGAATGGCGATAATTACTTGGCACTACTTCAAAAAGATGTAATTCCAAGTTTAGCAAATTTATATCCTGATCCAGGAAACCCTCAAGTTCCAGTGAATACAATATGGTTTCAGCAGGATGGAGCACCACCACTGATTCTGATACACACTGTGTGTAAGTTAGTTAAATAATTTGACGTCCAAAGAATTTCGTAATTACCCCAAAGGTGTATCTCATATGGTGACAGTAAAAAAGAAATAATACGAAATGAGAATTATTTCAAGGCTCAATGCATTTTTTAACTGGCAAAGTAGAAACAAATGTGTCGAGAGGTTTTTTTTACAGAGCTGGTCAATATGTAATTCCCATCGAAGCGAATCATCTATAATTATGCCTAATAATCTGACATGAGCTTTTGTTATTACCCTGGTATTAGGAGATATAGTAATTTTCTGAGTTTTTTCCCTGTTAAGTTTCAGTTCGTTGGATGTAAACCAGTACTCTGCTTTGTCTCCAGTTTCGTTGGCATTTACAAGTGAATTTGTGATATAAGAATATTATTGTTGCATTGTGGTGTCGTCGGCAAAGCAGATTACTTTACTGTGTAAAAGAAATTATCCTTTATATAGATTGCAAAAAAGGATGGACCCAAGATGGATCCATGACGTATTCCGTGATGCATAGACCTTTCACCTGATAAATTACCATTTACTTATACTGCGTCTGCTTTCTAGATGAGAGATAAGACTGGAAGAATTTCAAAGCTGATCCTCAGATATCATAAAATTAAAGTGTCTCTAGTGGTACTACATGAGCTGAAAAGTTTCGGGCCTAACACATAGATGGAGCTGGTTTGATTGCATTCACCGCTTTTTCAGTTAGTACTAATGTTCAAAAGAAAGCTTTCGATATTTCATGATATTTTACTCATGAGTGTGTGAGTTATTGACACTACTTTCGTTATTTTCAAAACAATGGATCAAAATCAATTTCGTGTTTTAATTTTACACTGCTTCTTGATGGAAAAAATACCGTTCAAGCGAAGCAATGGCTTGAAATGTATTATAAAGGACTACGCTCTATCAGAAACAATTGAACGTTGGTTTGCTAACTTCAAACTTGGTCGTAGAGACACTGATAATGCAGAACGCAGTGGACATCCAAATGAGGCAGTAACACCAGAAAACAAAAAAATCCACAAAATCGTTTTGAATGATCGAAAATTGAAATTGTGTGAGTTAGATGTAAAGATATCAAAAGAATGTGTTGGCTTTATATTGTATGAGTATTTGACTATGAGAAAGCTCTGTTCAAAGTGGGTGTCGCACGAGCTCACTGTTGACCAAAAACATGAACATCTTGATGATTCTGAACAGTGTTTGGCCATGTTTAAAAATAACAAACTGGAATTTTTGAGACGATGTATGAAAATGGATGAAACATGAATCCATCATTTCAATGCGGAATCAAAACGATCGTGAGCTGAATGGAAAGCAACTAGTCAACCTCGTCCAAAGCGCCCAAAAGCACAACAATCGACTGGAAAGGTTAGGTTAGGTTAGGTATCGGTATTTTGGAATAAGCGTGTTGTAATATTCATCGACTAATCGAAGAATGTAAACTTTCACAACCGGAGATAACTGTATGAAGGCAATTTTCCGGGTTTTCTGTCAGTGGTCTGCAGGTTTGTATGCCTGACGTTTCGTCTACTGGTGCGGTGTATATTTTCAAAGGCGATGCGGTAACAGTCGCAATACCTGAGCTGATGCTCTAGTTCTTTTTCCTGTTGTAGTCAACGCATTAACCACTATTTTCATACTGGGCGCTCTATTTATATCGTTCCTAATTGTAAAACCTGTTCGTGTACCTCTAAGGACAGTTGGCCAGCTTTTATTAATAATCATTGCCTCTTCTTTTCTATTGAATTATCCCTATGCTTTTGAATCTCTATCGCCTCTCGGTACAGGCACCGCTCTTAGAGCGCCATCAGGATTTTCCTGTATTGCTTGTGTTTTGTCCTTGAAAAAAAAACGTGCTCAATTAAAGGTCATCTGAGTTCTGTTTGCGAGAAACAACAAACAAAGAAATGTCACAGGCTGATGCGACATTACAGTGTGAAGGAAATGATAATTCACCACTTTTGTGTTTTTGATAGAAATCAGATGAGCCCATAATTATAGATATGTTTAAAAATGTTTGAAAATCTGTTTGAAAATGGAATTAGATTCATCTGTTTCGCCACTTTTTTTGTTCAAGAATTATTTTCCCACAGTCCAGTTACTTGAAATTGACATTATGCTCATAAATCTTTCTGGGGATAGAGTGCTACCTGAGGGGATTGTAAAATTTCAAGTAGATTATGGTTCAAAAATGAAACTCTAGATTTTTGTGTGATCGATTCGAAAGGCCCAGCACTTCTTTGCATAAATTTTATAAAATCATTTAATATGGTTCTTCAGAAAGCACAACATGTTGTTCATAGTTTACACGGTAGTATATCATTGGAAGATAACTCCGAAGGGGTTTTCTAACAAACTAGGTTGCTTCAATGAATTTCAGTTGCAATTACGCTCAATCTAGGTTTTGTAAGTTTCGATATTTACCCTTTGCATTGAAGAAGAAAGATGATGAAGAAATTAATAAGCTTCTGAGTAATAAAATAATTTATTCAGTAGAGTTTAGTCCGTGGGCAACACTCGTAGTACGCATCCTATAAAATAGATAACACTGTTAGGTTATGTGGCGATTATAAAATAACAATAAATCCCCATTTGATAGTCGATAAATATCCATTGCCTCGAATGGATGATTTATTAGAAAAATTGAGTGGGGGAGAACAATTCTCTAAAATTGATTTAGCACATGCTTATCAACAGGTACCATTACATCCATAATCGAATATAGGATAAAGATATTACTTTTGTTATATGTCTACTAAGTTTATTATTTATTACCTGTGTGCCTGTATGCTAAGTGGGTTTGACTTCACGATTGACTATGTCTCGAGCTTGTCTCGAGCTTGTCTCGAGGAATTGAAAGCTTTTTATAAAATACGTCTCAAAATTGGCATTGAAGATGTTCTTCTTTGGGGGCACCGCGTCTTAGTTACGTCTTCTTTACGTAACAAATTTTCAGCCGTACTGCATAGCGGACATTTTGGTATCGTTAATGAATTCTCTCAGTAAAGATATTGAAGTGATCGTAAAAAAATGTCAATGTCAGTCGGCACGCAGCACCCCCGAAAAAACGCCTTTGGCATCGTG